ATTAGCAGTTTTTCTAACCTGTACTTACAACTTTTATCTCGTTAGCATCAACCTTTGCACTTTACATATTACCTCGTCACCTCGGTTACAGTAACGGTCTCACGTACATCAGAAATCAACATTCCTAACGAAAGTCAATCTATGAATATTTTCTACCCCATCCAATTCATCACTGAAAAATGTAGGCTTAGGTTTACTTTATTTTTAACTGTGCACGATTTCTTAGTATCACTAATGGCTAAAACCTGCTGTGTTGTCTGAATACTAACGTTCTATTCGTTGCTGTCAAACTGTTGGTTACTTATATCATATATTAAAATAAGTACTTCTCTACTATACACTTTGAATATTTTTAGAACAACGTGCAAATGATTTAGTCGGAGAGAAAATTTATAAGAAACGTACAGATATTCATGCTAAAATCAAACAAGCATTCGTTACATTGTTCTGTGTCGTCCTAGTTAACAGTTATAATGTAATCTCTCCTGAAGACGTCACAAAGGCGAAACGTTGGAATTAAAACAAATGACACCTCGTTTATTTTTTGTCATATAAGCATTTATTTTAGTCTCACTCTGTGTTTAAAATTCTTAAAACTTGAACTGGATATTAAAAGTGTACATTTAACGTATGCGAACATTTCTCTGTCAACAAAAACAAGCAACTTTTATCCTAACACAGACGTTTAATAATACTTTACACGAGGTGTCAGTCAAGTCAACCTGCTCAGTCTTATGGCCACGATTATTGCTTTTGGGGTCAAAGGTCTTTCTCTCGTAATCACAGCCTTCACTTTGCAAATAACTAGTTTTGTTAAATTTAGCTCACGTTTATACAAGGGCCCTAATTTTGTTTGTTTGTTTTTGAATTTTGCGCAAAGCTACACGAGGGCTATCTGCGCTAGCCGTCCCTAATTTAGCAGTGTAAGACTAGAGGGAAGGCAGCTATTCATCACCACCCACCACCAACTCTAGGGCTACTCTTTTACTAACGAATAGTGGGACTGACCGCACATTATAACGCACCCCACGGCTGAAAGGGCGAGCATGTTTGGTGGGATGGGGGTTTCGAACCCGCGACCCACAGATTGCGAGTCGAGCACCCTAACCACCTGGCCCCCTAATTTTGAAGCGGTAGACTAGAGGGAAGGCAGCTAGTCAACGGCACTCACCACCAACTCTCTTCAGACCAAACAGTGGGATTTGACAGCCACTCTCATAACATACCCTTGATCCCAAAGTGTTGACAGCATTTTTGTTTTGTGTGTGTGTGTGTGATATGGGACACGAACCAAAGAACCTCATAACTCGAGAGTCTGGTACTTTAACCACTGGGCTGCACTCAGGCCACTATATAAGTTACAGTGATTATTCTGGGATGTAAATACACACAAATCAATTTAATTAAGTATTTTATGAACATTATGTAGTCTACCCTACTTTCAGTTCTGTATGTTTCTTACCAAAGTTCTTCACATTTAAAAATCAAATTTGAGTCTTAAGTTCCTGGTGTGATTAATCTCATTGGATAGTGTTTTGTAGAAATTAGTGATAAAAGCTCTTTATAGACCTCATACGTCTTTATAAAATATGTACGAATATATTATTACTATTCGACTTACAATGTTATTTCTAAACATCTGATACAAATACTACAAGTGTAGAAGTGTTTGTCATAAAAATACATTTTCAAAAAGTGAAGTTTATACTTCAATATTCCAGGACACACATCTTAGAAAACGTTAACTTCAATAAATTACAGAAGTTCTGAACACTATAAATCAATTCAAAATATACTAGGGAAAAAACAAAACAACTAAAAGGCAAGCTCACTCGCACTGCCAAAGTCCCCACTCTGTTCCTCCAAGAGTTAAAACTTTTCAATCTCAGATTTCCATTGTGAACACTTTTCAAACTTCAAACATTGCATTCAATAACTAAGCTTTATTTCAGAGTCTGGTTGGTAATGTACATACTGTAGATGACTGAAACTGTTCTCAATAATCACTGGCAGTTTTCACCCAAATTAAAAATATGCAAATTACGACTAGTTGACAGTAAACCACTTTAACAGTGTCACGACAAAGGTTTGTTCTTAATCACTTGGGTTATGAAAATGTCTACATGAGACCTTGAGTTAAAACAGGATATTTATTTAAAACTATATTTAAATGGACACATTACTTTTTCAAATAAAAAGTCACTTGAAACTGATCTATTTGTTACAGTGTGGTCATGTATCGCCAAAACATAAAAACTAGAAAAGAAGGTTTTAAATAAAGATCCTTTTAAGGATTCAACTAAACTTGTTTTCAAAAGTGTTTCTCCATTTTTTAACAGTTAATAATGGTAACATTCTTTATAGCTAAAGTAAAAATTAACGTTTAACTGTAGTGAAAACTGTTGTACTGTCGGCATGTGAAACTTCAAAATTTCCAAGAAACAAACTTACAATCAAACATACGACAATACTGAATTATACTACTTTGAAAATACCTGCAGCTAAGATAAATATCCTCTTGTCAGCAGACCTATCATGCTGTTGTATTTATCTTTAGGCTACTTGAGTAAAAAGAAGTCTTAAAAACATTCAAAGTTCATCTCTTGCAAAAATCTATAACTGATGATTTTAGCTCAAAATCTAAAGTTCCTCACTCGCAACTTGCCAGTATTAAAGGGATGTTCACAACTTTATTATCTTAGTTACATCATTAAAGGGATGTCCATAACTTTATTAACTTAGTTACATCATTAAAGGGATGTTCACAACTTTATTAACTTAGTTACATCATTAAAGGGATGTTCACGGCTTTATTAACTTAGTTACATCATTAAAGGGATGTTCACAACTTTATTAACTTGGTTACATCATTAAAGAGATGTTTTATATCATACTTAATAAAAACATACTTTGTATACAGAATATATTTTAAAACTGTTTTGAAAAATCATGTCTTCCTGACTTTCAAAGACACAATTGTTTCAAAACAATACTTTAAAATCAACTGATCACTAGCTAGAAAAAACATGCAAGACGATATTAGACACATTTACTTCGATAGACAAAATCTTGGACGCACGAGCCAACATGTTGGTACCAGAATATGAATGTAACAGTAACCAGAGAACCGTAGGTTGTTGTTTTTTTAAGACTAGAGGGAAGGCAACTAATCAACAGCACCGACCACCAATTCTTGGGCTACTCTGTGAAATATTTGACCATCAATCTTACAGCACATGAGCATCTCCAAAATTCAGCTTTTTTTTTTTTTTTGCAGCAACAGGGCACGAACCATAATATCTCCAACTCACAGTTCTGCCCAGTTTAAATTACTTCAGGAAATATGACAAACTGTCTCATGTTAGCTTCTTCAATCTTAATGTTATACATACAACACTGAAAAGTCCCTTTATAGGTTACATCTATGTCTTTTATTTAATGAAAGTTTCAAAATTTTAAAAGAACAAACAACTTTTAGAAGTTACATATTTATTAAATAACAAAATGTTCATGATTTAAGCACAAGTTCTACAGAAGGGATACCAACAAAAACACGACCTTCCTTTTAATAACCAATCACTTTCACAGTACCTCCATTTCATTTAAAATCTTGCATGTTAAAACATTTTTCCACAGAACAACTAGATTTATTTCAAACCATCAGCTGATAATAACCAACTAACGTGTCTACTTGTACAGAAGAAACTGTTAAAGAACTCGTAAATTTTCATCTTCCACATATGCCAAAGTGGAGTTACACTATCTGATCTATTCATTTTGTGTACGAAAGTTCCTTTTAAAAATCACGAGAGATATTTATTCTCTACTAAGAGGAAATATATTTACAATATATTCCAACTTTGTACCGAATAAATTAAATACATCATTTTAAATTCTCTTTGGTGATTCTACACCAAAATAATCAATAGCTTATTCAGTTTTTACAATTCAACGAAACAATTACTTATCTTAATATTATTTTTGCACACAATTTTAAATAGTAATAATTAAAAAGTAATGTTACACAAAAAAAGTAAATTTAAATCTGTTTCACATTTTGACTTCGATTTCATATCAATATGGAAATTTTTTTTTTATCTTATACTTTGAGAAGACAAAAAAATGCACATCTGTTTTAGCAAATGTTTTTATTATTTTTCACACACACACACAAAAAGCAGAATAATGAGCCACAGATTCGGCTAGTGGTTTAAAATTACTGATGTAAAGAGAAAAGTTATGAAGCCTGGTCAACATTATCTGAGCAAGCACCAGCTCCCTCACTATTGTAATTATAATTACTCCAAAACACACCAATAAAAACCTGTAACACTACAAGTGAAGCATAAATTTAGCTAAGGAATACATAGTAAATAGCAGTAAATCTTTACACATCAACAGTACCAGAGAATGGGATATGACTTTGATGTTTGGCTATGTACAATAATTATCACTCACAAAATAAAATTTTGTTCACTATTTCTTAAGACCAACGACATTGTGTTACACACTTTTCATTCATTTCACAAACATGTGGTGCTACCCTTTGGAATGTACTGGGACAGCTAATAATAAAATACATTAAAATACTACACTCTCTGTTCTTGAATAATGAACTATAATGCAACGTTACCATGCCACATCTGTAATAAATACGATACAAGCCGGACTCGTTACATCGTAGACAAGAATATAAACAGAATTCTGTGTTTTGTGCTAAGTGAACTCTTTGTTTTTATACAGATACTTTAAGGAGTAATATCCAGGTCCACTCCTACTATTTTTTGTATTTAAAAAAAAGGTTTTATCATTACTCTACTTTTGATTTTTCAACTGGTTGGATAACCAGTCAAGTCCTTCGTACAACCCATCTCCACTGGTAGCACAGGTGGCCTGGATGTACCAGTTGCGGTTCCTCAGAGAATGAAGGCCTAGTTTGTCTGTGATTTCTGCTGCATTCATGGCATTTGGAAGATCCTAAAAAGAAAATACGGTTGTTTTGTTGACGATTAACAGGACAAAAATTGGAAATGTAAAATGGTGCACTGATTATGTTTTTACATTGATGATAAGTTATGCCACATTTTGAAACTTACATCAATTTGCAAAGTAAACAACATAAAGAAATATAATGACAAATTTTCTCAACTTCATTGATGCTGAATACGTTTTTCAACATTTCAAGCACACCACTATTTTCTGATAAAATACTTGAAGAAAAACAATACTGAAGAATTTTCTCAACTTCATTGATGCTGAATACGTTTTTCAACATTTCAAGCACACCACTATTTTCTGATAAAATACTCGAAGAAAAACAATACTGAAGAATTCTCTCAACTTCATTGATGCTGAATATGTTTTTCAACATTTCAAGCACACCACTATTTTCTGATAAAATACTTGAAGAAAAACAATACTGAAGAATTCTCTCAACTTCATTGATGCTGAATATGTTTTTCAACATTTCAAGCACACCACTATTTTCTGATAAAATACTCGAAGAAAAACAATACTAAAGAATTCTCCCAACTTCATTGATGCTGAATATGTTTTTCAACATTTCAAGCACACCACTATTTTCTGATAAAAT